CGGCACAGCCGCCGCGTGGTCGACCGGGAGCTTTTTTGGCTTCTGCGTGGCCGCCACGGCCTCGGCCAGCTTCTCCTCCGGCACCATGTTCAAGATCTTCAGGGCAAAGAGCAGCTGGAATTTGGCTGTTCCCACGAAGGAGTTGCCCAGGAAGTTCGGCAGCCCGCCCATGCGGTCCTTCTGGGTGTAGAGGGGCACGCGCACCATGCCCATCACCTGCAAGGCACAGCGCAGAGCTCCGCTCACTGCCAGCGCAGCAGCAGCCCCCCTCCCCGGGGCCCTGTCCCCACGGCCCAGGGGCCCTTGTGCCTCCCCCGCCCCGGGGCCCCCCGCAGCCCCTGTGCTGCCCCTGCCCACGCTGCTCCCTGGGGGTCCTGCTCTCCCCGCCGTGCCCAGCCCTACCTAGGGCCGCTGCAGCTCCCTACACATCCCCCTCAGCCCACGGCCAAGTGTCTCCCTCCACGATGCTGGGTGCTGGAGCACCCGGGGGTACCCAGGCCACCGTGTGGAGCCCGGCTCCTTCGCTGCCTTCTCACGAGCTGGGCAGAACTGGGGCCAAAGCACCATGTCACTGCACCGCGGGTCACTGCTCCAGCAAGGCTACGCGGCCCCCAGAGCCGAGGCTGACCTGGAGCAGGTCCTTACGCTGCTAAGTACCCAGGGCTCCTCCTCACAAGGAGGCTCCCTGCGCTACTGAGCCCTCGAGTTGCCCTCACGAAGGACCAAGCGCTGCTGTGACACAGGGACGTGGCCCCCACCACCGCTCTGGCCTGCGCTGTCCCCGCGCGCAGCCCTGCCCGCGTCGCCCACCTCCAGCCCGTGGTCTCGGGAATGCACTGCACTGATCTCAATGGTGTGCAGCTCCTCCAGGGTGAGCTGTCGGGCGTAGAAATGGGCCACCACGCGGTGCGGCCCCTCTGTCAGGTGCGAGCACAGATAATCAGCTTCCGTGAGGCGCACGCAGCCCAAACCCAAGCCCAGCACCCGATTCAGACCGTCCTCCAGGGACCAGTAACGGCGATCCACGAACCCCCCGGGAAAGCCCAGCAGTCC